GTCATACACAATCAACACCAAAACCTTGCATACGCTACCCCGCAACACCCATGCGAACCAAAACCAATCAGGTAAGAGCACCAACTCCCACGACACACTAGCACCAAAAATAATTATAGCCCTTCGGACACCACATCCCATTCTACCTAGAATTAGTTACCCCCAACCGACAACCTCTATGTCGTGAAATGACACCACGACACCTAATCCCTCTCTACCTTCCCAGGCGATACTGCCTCAAACACCGTGCACACAAGACCCGTGACCTTTGTCACAACAACCCACTGACTCATCAAAAGAAAAAGGTGCCTATCTGGCAGCATCGTCCTCATTGGCTCTAATAACTAATCCGACCACAATCGCCTCAACTAGCGCACAACCCCATCACCTACCTGACAACATACAACAAATAATTCATAATCCCCAAACCACATTCGGGTCATACCTTAAACCATTCTGCTCATCAATACTAAGATATCACATCACAACGCCTCTACTACCATCATCCTCGAATGACAACTCGAACTCACGTCCCACCGACTCAATAGGCTACCGCCAAGCGATCTCCTACAAGCATCCCTAGGATAACACCATCACAACAAGAGAGTATGTTTCATTTTCGATACTCCCCACAATAACTACTACTTACTACCAGAAAAATGACCTCTATACGGTAATGCCATGCCGACAAATCCCAAAGGAAAAATAAGCATAAAAACCAGACTGCTCAACATCCAAATGTCTCCTCAAACCATCTACAACACAATTAGTCATTAACACTTAATCGGCTACTTCGACCATTCTTCCTAAAACAATCTACATACTCAACCAAAGAAACCTTATGCCCAGCCGTCAACACCATCACTTTCCCCCTTTACTGTTCCTCAGAACACCCTTGGCCCCGACAAAAGTCAAATGGGGCTACCAACTAGACCTACGAGATCACCCTCATCCCAATCATTCTAATCATCCCTCGTCCCAATCATTCTAATCATCAGTCTTTCTCTTCAGATCTCAGACAACCAGCACTATCTCCTGATACCCTAGACACAATTGAAATACAACCCTAGTCCACAGCTTCCAAATTCTAAAACATAGTCCATTTGGCACACCACCATGTATCACCTTATCTGCAATCGACCAGCACTTCAATGACCCCATACTACCTACCTTATCGCACAACCTTGCACTACACAGCTAAAACTGACCACAATACCTCACCTCGAGACTTTCTTGACAATTGTGACAACCCATAACCCCGCTCATCCACCGTGCTATACAATCAACCCACCGAGAGTCAATTACCCACAACACGCTCCTGTAGCTGTCCGAAATGAGGATCACTCCTCAACTAACCAGTCTCTAAACACAGACTCTTTCAAGACCACACGAAATGGTCCACATCCTATAATCGGTCATCCGGCACTGGCATGACTCCAGTTAATGCCTACGTTACCCTAGACCAACAGAGTCCAACAAGTCCTTTTAACGGTCGTAACCGACACGCTTCCTCGGACTGTACCCGAATACTGTAAATACACGTCTACAACCCATAGACTACACGTACTCGTGACTCAAACAACCTTTATCACACCCACCACAAACTGGTTCGAAAAGAACCCCTGTACCAGACCGCGACCTAAGTCACAAACACTAACTTCTAAAAGTCATACACACCTCACGAAAACCTCACATCGTCGACTTGACCTCCACGATCACAGGAACTCACGTGCCAACACATGAAACTCATACGTCTTACCCTGGACATCACACTGTGCCATAACAATTATTCGAAGGTGGTGCCCTAAGCACTACGCCCTAAAAACAACGAGAAAACTGAAGCAACTATGCACTGAATAGCTCGATCCATGAGTTAAAAACCTAAGCCATTCGTTCGATAAGAACCGGCACCCAAACAACGCTGGAGCAACCGAGCTCCTCCCTTACTCAAGTCAAAACCTACACAACCATCAATGCTACAACAAGTACTCCATCGTACTAGCAACCATCCCGTACCCAACTATATGTACACACGTGAATACACATATATAATAACCGTACCTCATACCATGATATAAACGTGTCCCATCATTTAAAAGTAAATAAACACCCCGTCTTTCAATTTTTTATTTTTATTTTTATTTTTTTTTATTTTTATTATTATTATTTTTTTAAATACTTGCATAACCATGCCTAAATAATCGTCACAATACCATACTAAACATGCCTGCACCTACCGTGCTCACTATTTATCACATTATCATTTAAAATAAACTGCACACACCGTGCCTACTACTTGCCGTTACCACCTAAATCACACTTGTCATCATATAATAATTAATATGTTTTCAATTATTTATACATTTCATCGTCATGGCATATAACACACATTTTAGCAATTAAACACATAAACATGTGAACACTTAGCAAATAAGCATGCCTTTTAAAACCGTAAACACCTAAGCAAGTAAGCGAGTAAGCATGCTTCTTAGATAGCAAATACTTTAACACAGAAGCACGTAAACAATGCAATCCACCTTCCACACAACCCTAAGTAGGTCTCTACCCGTCGTCCTACTGGTTTTCGAATCATGGCTCTGATACCAAATTTGTAACGACCCAAAATGATACCAATCATAAAAAAATCGGCATGACCACCGCTAAAAAGGGTCTTACCACAATCTGTTGAAATGCATTAAAAAAAAAAAAAATACAATGGCCTCATTTGGCCATAAACTAATTTATCATATTCCAACACACAATGCAAATAATAGAAAACATTCCCAAAATAACAATATACATATAAAAAGAGTCCCGTTCCTCCAACTCCTTCAAAAAACATGGAAACACCAGTCCACTACCTAGTCCCATACTCCTTTACAAGGAACATACTCTAATTACGTCAATTTACAGTCCATGAAATACAGCTGAAGTCAAAAGCTTATAATTTACAACATTATACAAATTATACTAAAGTTTTACAGAATAGTTAAGATTTACATTTACAAAATTTGAAAGTTTTAAAACAAAAATAGCAAAATATAAATCTCCAATCCCGTCTAAACTTGTGGTGGATGGTTGTCCATCACCTCCTTTTTGTGTCTTGAAAAATATTAATAATAAAGGGGTGAGCAAAATTGCTCAGTAGGTGGTGCTTTAGACACACCTCTTGTGACCCCGTGAATCCAAGCAATGAATAGAAATAAAGGGAACGGGATCATGCTGTACCGAGGAAGAACTCAATACAATTTCAAGGCTAAAAACCAAATAATGTCGTGCCATGAAATGCAATGCCGTGCTATGTCGCTCCTCATTTTCAACATCCAAATCCATCACTTTTCAAACTGTTAATATAAACCGTCCGTTGGTGACTCCGCAGCGACACGAGAGAAGGATTGGCTACTGTCCCTGACCCTTGGTACCCCCGCGGCGTCATTTGGGGCCCAGCTAGCTCAACCATGCTAGGGTGATTTCCCTAGTTCCCTCTAGGTTATATTAACACCACGGCCCTTTGGTGACTCCGCTGCGATTGGGTTTTCTCAAAACCATTTTATCCAAATTCTCCCCAAAATCCCTTTTTTTTTTCATTTCAAATCACTTTACCCTTTTCTTTCATGCCCAATGCTATGAATGCATGTCACATACTTTTCCAATAATATGAAAATAAAGGAAATTTACACTACACAATTTAGCATGCTTCTTCATAGCAATTTCTAGAAAATTAATAAACACTATAGGCATGGAAATTACCATTTAGGCATGTTTTTCACATAATTCCATTAACACACATAAACATAGATTTCAAATACAACAATTACGTCATTTTAGAAACAATCAACCTAAATTAAACATGCTTGACATCAAATTTTGAAAGAAAATTCACAAGAGAACAAGAAATTGGGAATTAGAAACCCTTACCTCTTAAGATGTAAAAACCCCAAATTTTGTGCCCTAATTTCGAAATTCCTAGGGTTGGCCAAATGAGAAATCGCTTACATCAATGTGTAGATCTCAACGAGCCCTCCAATTTGCCGCAAACGGCTCCAATGAACTCTCAAAAATAAGGGAGAAATCAAAATTTGAAGCTTTGAAGGAAATGAAAAAAAAAAAGAAAAAGGAAAAAAGAAATAGAAAGAGGGAAAGAGAGAGTTCCAGCCCCTGTGCCGACTCTCGGCTGTCTGCTCTGTCTGTGCTCACGGTTCTCTGTGTGTCCTCTAATTTCTTTCCTTCTCAGTTCTCAAACTCTCTGTATCCTTACTTAGTACACACAACCCCCTCAATAGCGCACACATTATTTAAAGGCTTATCCACCGACAGGACAACAAATATCACAACAGCTCACTCCATCAGACCACGTGAACAGCCCAAGTCCACTTAACTTTGGCAATAAAATTCCTTGTGAGTCCCACCAAAGCATCACCTTATTACAATCCTCTCTTTCTATTACTTTCGGCAACCCACCTGTTACTATCTTCCACTTTCTTCCTATCTCAATATTCTGTCACAAATAAACACATATGATTGACTTAGTCAAAAGCTTGCATTAAATTGATACACCATATATATATATATATATATATGACCAACAAAACAAGCCATGGGACCCGCCACCAACATTACCAATCTTTCCATTTCTCTTATTTCGGCTTGGACCTTATCTTCTCCATCAGACAAGGTACAATATGTATATACATATATATATATATATATATATATATATATATATATATATATATATATATATATACAACAACTAAATCAAACAAACTGAAACATTAATCCTCAATTGGGTAAATCCAATTATAATCAAATAATTAATTATGAAAACCAAAAATATAATGAAATAAATTAAATCTTAAAAATTCGGATTGTCACATTAAATTCCTCTCCGATGCCACTCCACAGAAAATTCCCCTGTATTCGGTTAAGCCTGCGTGCCACTATGCTGGGCATCGGAAACAAGGACATGAAATATGTAGGCAGTTTGGAGAGAGTGCTTTTCAATAGGATAGCTTGCCTCCTTTTGACAAGTACTGCTTCTTCCACCCAGAAAGCCTCTTTTGGAAGCGCTCAATAACTGGATCCCACACAGCAACCCTCCTCATAGAAGCTCCCAAAGATAGCCCCAAATAAGATATCGGCAGAAACTCAACCCCACATCCCAAAATATCTGCAAGCTCTTGAATATGCAGCACCTCCCCCACTGGGACAATAACACTTTTCCCAACATTAATTTTCAGCCCCGATACCACTTGAAAACAGGCCAGAACAAATCTCAGATGTCTCATCTGAGTCACACTTGCATCGCAAAAAACTATGGTGTCGTCTGCAAACAGCAAGTGTCATGTAACAATCTGATTTGTGTTGATCCCTACCGAGAAGCCTTGAATGAAGCCCAGATTCTCCGCCCATTTCATCAGCCTGCTAAAAGCTTCCATAACAATAATAAAAAGAAAAGGGGAGAGAGGATCCCCCTGATGTAACCCTCTCGCGCTTGCAAAAAAACCTGCTGGTGACCCATTAACTAAGATAGAAAAACGAGCTGTAGCAACACAGTGAAAAATCCAACCTCTCCATTTGGATCCAAACCCCATCCTCTCCAACAAATACATTAAGAACTGCCAATTCACATGGTCATAGGCTTTTTGAATATCCAATTTATCGACAATCCCCGGATCACCACTCTTAATTATAGCATCAACGCATTCACTAGCAATTAGGACTGGGTCGAGAATTTGTCTCCCTCCTACAAAAGCATTTTGGGATTATGAGATAACTCCATCCAAAACCTTTCTCAACCTAATCGCCAGAACTTTCGCAATAATTTTATACACAGAACCCACCAAACTAACTGGTCTGAAGTCCTTGGCCTCCACAGCTCCTCCCTTTTTAGGAAAGAGGGTAATGAAAGTTGCATTCAAACTTCTCTCGAAAGAGCCATTAACGAAAAAAGCATCCATGCGTCTGGTTAGGTAAATGCTATATGAAGCAATTACTGTCTGGACTTGAGCATTGCCACAAACATGGTGTCTTGCACCGTGATATCAAGGGTTCCAATTTGCTTATTGACAATGAAGGAATATTAAAAATAGCTGATTTTGGACTAGCTTCTTTTTATGATCCTGAGCACAAGCAACCAATGACAAGTTGTGTTGTCACCAAGGAGGTTCATATTTTTCTTGGATTACGACCTAGTTTTATTGAGTTAAGCATATACTATCATCCCTAGCTTTGGTTTAGTGAATCGTCGATAACCAGTTTGTTGATTCGTATATGAGCTTGCGATGCTAGAATTCTAGTCGTGTCCCCAGTGTAGAAATTTTTGCTCCTGCTCCTGTCTATTGTAATTCACAATGATTAATGAGGGGTCAATGCTTGGTGTAGTGATTAAAAGTTTGATTTGTCAAGTGTGAGAGTGTTGGTTCGAGTCCAAGGTTGGCACTTTTACTAAATAATGTTATATGCTAGGTCGTACCAATCCACGCCTCCCAACACCCTTGCTTAATGTGGACCAGGACCAGGGCAAGGTTTTTTTTTTTTGTTATGAGATTACTTACTGTGCCTTAAATATTTGGAGAAGTGAGATATTCCCTTTCTTTTAATAATATCTTATAGGAGAACAGAACTTTGTTATTAAATGTGAACCCCCTGCGCGCTCCCGCTGTGTCAATTTTTGAAGATTTTAATATAGAAGGCAAGGTTATCCTCTAAGGGCATTCCACTTATAGGAGTATACATCTTGGTTAGTCATTGTAGGGTTTACTATGGGAGGATGAAATGTGCTGTTTAGCAGTATTTCTCATATACATTTTGTCCATTTGGCCATTTCCAGGTTTACTGACCAATTATAACTGTACTATATGAAATCTGAGTTGTATACAGTAGAATATATGCATTTGTGAGGTTAATTTGTTTCTAAATGTTCTTCTGGTTAGGTAAAATGCTATATGAAGCAAATACTGTCTGGACTTGAGCATTGCCACAAACATGGTGTCTTGCATCGTGATATCAAGGGTTCCAATTTGCTTATTGACAAGGAAGGAATATTAAAAATAGCTGATTTTGGACTAGCTTCTTTTTATGATCCCGAGCACAACCAACCAATGACAAGTCGTGTTGTCACCTTATGGTACCGTCCCCCGGAACTTCTTCTTGGGGCCACATATTATGGAGTTGGTGTTGACCTCTGGAGTGCTGGCTGCATTTTGGTGAGTTACTTGCTGGGAAACCAATAATACCTGGACGGACAGTGGTATTATTTGTTCATTTGCTTTATTTAATATGAACTACTCTTTTAACTTCCTGTACATCAGTGGTTCTGAAGATAAATACTTGGATCACTATTGTTTTTGTATGATGATGTAAAAGTGCTGGTGTGTTTGGGGTACAACAATTTGGGTTTTGAGTCTGTTCCTGTGGTGACCATTCTCGTCTCACTTGGATTTGGAGCATTTGCAGTCGGCTTCTTTCATAAACTTCTCCTCTCTATATCAATCCTTGAACTCCTGACCTAAGGGTTACACAAGCCAACTCCTAAGCCAAAGAGGCTAGAAGAGTTTTCTTTCATAAACTTCATGATTTTAGGATACTCTTTCACTGCATGTGCACACCATCAAGCCATTTATTTTGTTTTTTAGATGTCAGACAATATAAATCATGCTCAAAATTTTACTTTGCAATGGAGTTGGTTTGGCTTATTTTCCATCAATCATGGAATCAGGCAACAACCAATGGTCTTTTATGGTCAATCATAACATATTTTAGTCATTAAGATTGCCAGTCATCTGAGAATTTGATATTGACCTCACTCAGAGTTAGCTCCACCAGTTGAGCAGTTCAGAGGGATGTTTCTAGCTACATGTCTTGTGTGGATAGAAAAATAACACTATGCAAGATGCTCTTTGACTAATTCAATATTGGGAGATTTGGTTTTTGAGTTCACATTGCTCACACTTGATCTAGGGCCCTTCTGTCTGTCAGTCACTATTTTTGTTGTATGACTGAAATTTTGTTGGTTTGGATTTAGTCATTTTTGGACTCTTTTTCTGTTTAGGTGGAGCAACTGCACAAAATATTTAAGTTATGCGGCTCCCCATCTGAGGAATATTGGAAGAAATCCAGGTTGCCAAATGCAACACTTTTTAAACCACAGCAGCCATGCAAGTGTCGCATAGCAGAAACCTTCAAGGATTTCCCACCTTCTTCTCTCCCTCTAGTTGAAACTCTTCTTTCAATTGATCCTGAAGAACGAGGCTCTGCAACTGCAGCTCTGAATATTGAAGTGAGTATTTTTACTTAAAGCAAAGAATATTGGTTTATTTGCTAGATAGCTTCATATAATCGATGTTCCATATTTTCAACATACAATTTGGTCATATCAATGGTTCAATGATCTGTTGCTGTTTGTTTTTTGTAGTTACCTTGTCTTTTTCTATTGGTTTTCGCCAAATAAAGGATCATGGTTTCAATTTTTTATAATTTGTAATGATTAATGTGGACTCTGAACTAACCTCCCGCATGGTTTGTAAATTCATATCTGAGAGAAGATATTTATTTGTTGCAGTCACCTTTTTGTCTTATCCTGGAGTTTCAGTGGATGAATTGCTGTTACTATTTATTGTCTGTAGTCTGTACACCTGCAATGAAAGGGTACTTATAAGTTGAAGCACCTTGGGTGGCAATACTTATTCTTGTAAGATGTGCTCAATTGCACTAATTGTTTGGACAAAAGCACATCAGAAGCTTGACATAAGTTTCCGCATGTTCTTATATATTTGACAGACCTTTAAATGCTCACAATTTCATGATTAAACCGCCCTCTTAACAGCTGGCAGCAATTCTTGCACTTCGAAATCAAGCTTATGTTTGATGTGTAGGCAGGTTGCAAAAGACTGATGGATGGTCAAAGTATGGGGCCAGGTCAATCTGGATGACTCTCTTATGGTCTCTTGAACTATGAACTAGGGTCTGGCTGATTTTTATGCACAGCTTTTCACCTTCTCCACAACTGGATGACCAGAATACCATAAAAGGTGGAGCCAGACTAAAAATTTAAAATTTCCTCCTCATTTCTTTAAAGAAGTTGAAACAAAAAGTGCAAAAACTATTTCTATGGTTCATCTGGTTTGTTTGATCATGTTAATCAAGTATAAGTAAAATGGCGGCATACTTGCTTATGCTACTCTGTCTGTGATTGCTAATGAATAAAGACACCACTACCTGCAGGAAATGCAAAACAAGGCATAAATATACATACTAGTGATTAGTTGTTGACCTCTGAATTACGTAATATTCACTACTTACTGTATACGCTTCTACAAAATGGTTCTTGTTTGATAATTTGTATATTTTAGATATCTGCTTAACAACAATCTGCTCTGTTTTTCATATGATATGTTCTTTTAAATAAATATGCTGAACAACACTATTTAAGGGAGGAAATCATTTAATTTGTACTTTGTCTCTGGGTTCAGTTTTTTACAACTGAACCTTATGCTTGTGAGCCATCAAGTTTACCAAAATATCCTCCCAGCAAAGAGATGGATGTAAAATTGAGAGATGAAGCAGCAAGAAGGTTTTGTTTCTTCCTTAATTTTTTACAATTTTGTGGATCAATCTTTGCCATAAGCTGATAGACGGTACGCTTTTCCTCTGTAGGCAAAGAGGTTTGAGCAGGAAAGCTAATGTCACTGATGGTGCCAGAAGACCGAGAGTCCGTGATTGTGGTGGCCGGGCAGTTCCTACTCCAGAAGCCAATGCAGAGCTCCAATCAAACTTGAGTGTACGTGTGACAAATTTAGCCTTTCTATTTGTTTTTCCATTAACTGCATTAAGCTCTTGATCTTCCAAATGCTGTGGCAATTTGAACCTGGGGGGCTGTTACTGTGCTCGGTTGAGCCATAACTAGGGGAAATTTAAGTTAGGAGTCCACTTTTGATTTTGTTGGGGGCTCATTGATCAGAGCAAATGTTATAGCTTATGTTGACAAATGTGACGACATGTGTTTGAGTGACATGTTGTGCAAACTAAAGCTGGATGTGTATATGTACATATCTACCCTCCTCCATACATATTTGTGTGACTACCACTAGGTGTTGGTGGGGCAACACCTTTTTTACTGGTAAATTTTTGGTTCAGATTATATCCTTCTAGGTGTTGGCCAAACTAGGTATAACTTTTTTTTTAAGATGGCTGAGTAGTAACACTTCTAAGAAGTTGAGCCCATGTTACACTCGTGCCATGCACCGACAATTCTCAGATATTATAATCAACTGATGGTTCTTAAGTTCTTCTGTCCTTGGGAATCATAATTACTTCAACTCTTTAATGATTAATATTTAATAAATTAGTAATTCTCATAATTTGATAATATTTTGAGGATCCAACTTGATCTCAAGGGGTGGATAATTAATAGTTCTACTACTACATAATACGTAATGAATAACTTTTGAAAAAAAAATCAATTATATTAGTAATCATTTCAATAGCAATACATATAGAAATGTAAACACATTCATATAAAGAAATTATTAATGTTCTCGTAGGTCATGTAATGGATTATAAAAAATTTTTGCTATCATAATCACAATTTTTTTTTGCCTATCTCAATGACATATAAGCGAATAATTAGTTTATGTGAGATGAGTCCAACTAGATGGTTCACCCATCCCCCGGGATTTAGTAAATTAATACTTCTAATAATTTGAAATTTTTTGAGTAACCAACTTGATGTTAAGTTGGAAAACAGTTGAAAAATATTCAATTATGTTGTTTCTCACTTGAATAGAAATATATTTATTTATATATAGAAATTTTAAAACATTTATTTAGAGAAATTGATAATATTCTCACATATGTCAAGCATTGGATGATAAAAAATTTATGCTATCAAATTCATAAATTTTGTCACATATCTCAAAAACTAAGAGCAAGCCTTGGCATAATAGCATGGTTGTTCAGT